TTGCAAATCATTTATCTGTAAGAACTTGTAACAAAATTCTTAAAGAATACTTACAACTCAACAACAAAAAAACCAAAGCCCAATTTAAAAATGGCTAAGGACCCAAATAGACATTTATTCAAAGAAGATATAATAATGGCAAATAAACAGGAAAAGATGCTCAACATCACTAATTATTAGGTAAATGCAAAGCAAAACCACAATGAGATACCACCTCACACCCATGAGGAAGGTCATAATTTTTTTTGAAAAGGAGGGGAGTGGGGACAACAACTGCTGATAAGAATGTGGAGGAATGGGAAACCTTTTACACTGCTGGTGGGAATGTTAAATGATGTAGCCAGTGTGGAAAAGTTTGTCAGTTCCTCAAAATGTTAAACATAGAATTATCATATGACCCAGGAATTCCACTCCTAAGTATATGCCCAAGTCTAACAAAAACTTGTAAACAAATGTTCAGTGTTATTATTAATAACAGCCAGAAGTGGAAGCAATCCAAATGTTCAACTGATGAACAGGTAAACAAAATATGCTATATTCAGATAAGGGAATTTTATTCAGCTGAAAAAAAAAAAAAGAATGACGTACTGAGACTTCAACATATATGAACCTTGAAATATTACACTAAATGAGAGAAGCTAGGCACAAAAAACCCCACATATTTTATGATATCATTTATATAAAATGTCCCTACTTGCCAAATCCAGAGATAGAAAGCAGATTAGTGGTTGTCAGGGATTGAGAGAAATACTGGAAAATGACTACTTACTTAATGGGTATTAGGTTTCTTTTGAGATGTCCAAGATACTTTAGAATTAGAGAGTGGTGATCGACACACAGTATTGTGAATATACCCCAAATCACTGAATTATATACTTCACAATCATAAATTTTGTTATGTGAACTTCACCTCAATTAAAAAAAAATTAGATGAGATACCAGCTGACTAGGAAGTATAACAACTAGGACTCTCATACATTCCTGGAGGGAAGGGTTAAAACTGTAGTAGTTTCTCATAATGTTAAACATTCACTAAACATATGATCCAGCAATTCCAAGAAAAATTAAAAACATATGTTTACTAAAAGACCTGTATACAAGCCTGTATACAAAGCATTATTTACAACAGCCAAAAACTAGAAACAAACCAAATATCCATCAACAGGTGAATGGATAAGCTGTGGTTTACCCACACAATGGTATATATAATACTCAGCAATAAAAAGGAATGAACTATTGATACATGTAGTACATGGATGAATCATAAATATTGTTGTGCAGAATAATTCAGGCCTAAAACATAAATTATACGATTCCATTTACATGAAGCTGAAATACAGGCAAAACTAAGACAACAGAAGTCAGAAGAGTAGTTACTCTGGTGGGAGAAGGGAATTGTAATTCCCTGAAGATAATTACATGGATATACGTATTTGTTAGGACTCATCAATCTGATTGTTTAAAATTAGTGTGCTTTATTGTATGTGGATTAGTAAGAGAATAATAGTCACTCCTTATCTGTGTGTGTGGGGGAATATTCCAAGAACCCCAGTGGATGCCTGAAACAGAGCACAGTACTGAAATTTATGTATATTGTTTTATCATGTACACACATACTTATGGTAAAGTTTAACTTATAAATTGGGCATAGTAAGAGATAACAATAACTAAAATTAGGACAATTATCACAATATATTATAATAAAAGTATGTGAATGTGATCTCTCAAAATATCTTACTGTACTGTACTGACCTTGTAATCTCATGAGGTGATAAAATGGCTACGTGACGTAATGAAGGAGGTGAATGATGTGAACACTGTGATGTATCATTAGGCTACTACTGACCTTCTGTTCTTATGTCAGGAGGAGAATCATAAGCTGTGGTTGACCGTGGGTAATTGAAACCATGGAAAATGAAACCACTGATAAGTGGGGACTACTCTATTAGAAATTTTTAAAATTTACATGATAAGACTTCTATAGGGTCTTACAGCAAACCAATCTCACTGGGGTGCCCAATCAACACAGAAGAATGAAGTGGGATAGGTGTTTTACAGTCATGGTCAAATAGTATGTTCCTACACTACTGTAAAGGAATTTACAGTCTACTTCAGAACATATAACCCCTATACCCGCTCATTATCCTCAAAAGCTCCTGTAGGTGCCACAGCAACTTCTGAATGATGTCGTCTCAGGGGGATTGAATGTCAAATTTTCTCTCAAATTTTGAATTCTCCTGTCTTACTCTCAGTTTTTGACCTTTCACTTCGGTTGTGTTCAAGGACTCAATATAATGAATTTTCCCTGGTTTCCCAGCCCACCTTCACCTGAAACATGGACTTTGATGCCACAGCCACTAGCCAACTCTATCCTTTCATATGCCTAGCCTGAAAAACAAAGAACTTAACCTCAGAAAAGCCTTAGGTCCTTCAATTTACCAGAGTAATAAGACTCTAAAATGAGAAATTTAAATAATAAAAATAGCAACAGAACACATTTCAGACTATAATAGTTGGCATATGAATCAGGAATTTTACAAAAGACCCCAAATAAGCACAAGATACAGGTTGTATCTGAGCTAGACTTGTTATGAATAGGAAAGAGGAACAGTTGCCAGCCTGGTAGAGAGGCTTAAGCAAAATAAAATAGGGAAGTGGTGAGTTTTAGAGAAGAATGAATAAACTTATTTGTCTAGATTCTAGAACAAAGAGTAAGTATTTGGATAAATGTGAAGTAGTTCGAAAAGCTGATAAGGTCTCATTTGAATCACAAAAACATTGTGGGGCAGACTAAGCAGATACTCCATTTATACATGAGGAAACTGTAGCACAGAAAGGTTAGTATTTGCTTAAAGTCATAAAACTACTTAGGAATATAGCCAGTACTGAATGAAATTGGTTTCTCCTGATTCACAGGAAAATGCTCATTCAATTAGACCATGATACTACTCAATATTCTCCAACTTTGCCTAATAGAACTCTTTAACTAAACTTCTCAACAAAATAACCTTGCCCTGCCCAGTTGTTTCTTCTTGAATGTATACTGTTCAACTGAACCACATTTCAAGGTATACCTTAACACATGATAGGTAAGGAGGTTTCTATACTTAAAGGCCATAGATAAATGACCAAGTCCTTCCTCCAGTGGCTACTAAAAGATCTGAGTTCCAATAATAATTTTTAAAAATTAACCTTGGATTACAGATTAGAGAATTAGTACTACTGTCCAGTAAAACAGACTTTCTGCTTATTCACAGCTTGGCATTATCACCTACAATGCAGTCAAGGGTGTGCCTAAAAACATGAGATACAACTTTGTTACTATCCTTCCTCATTATAATAAGTAAGAACTTGCATATTCTTTATAGTAAATAAGATTATCTCCTACTAGAACATACAATGAGCTTCGATTTTTAATTTTCTTTAATAGAAATGTTTAAATCTTTCCCATATCCCTAAACCTTCCAAAGACCCTATCTTCTTTTCCTACCACCATTATTCCCTACAATGACAAATTTTTTGCAAGAGTACATTCAACCTATCTTCACTCAAGTCCATGGCTCTTATCTAGCTAGTACTTACCTTGGCCATCCATCCACTGAAATTCTCATTAAGGAAATTAACGACATCTTAAACACCAGAATCAAAGGCCTATTTTCAAGTAATTCTTTGTGAACTGTAGGGGAATGGAAAGGCTCGTGCAGAAGAGTTCACCAGAATGACAACACTTACTGAGCTCTCACTCTCTGCCACGCACTTTCAAAAATGTTTCATTTAATCCTCACAACATCTCAAAAGTATTTGTTACCTCCCTCTCACAGATTAAAACTGAGGCTCAAAATTATCCATAGTTAATGAAGCCTGCATTATCCCAAGGTTTGCAATTCTGTGACTTACGATAATTTTGTGATCCCAGTTCTCTTCCTGTGGCCTTTTTTCTCTCTCTTCCACTATGTCATCACCCTCTGCTCATCACTATTTCTCTTATTTCACATGCTGTCCTGGGCAATTTCATTTCCTCCCATGACTTAACTACACTATATATTAGTGTTTCTCAATCTTTTAAAACTTTTAGAAACATAAAAAAATCTTGTGGTGTTTCTGCAATTTACATTTTGAAAGAAATAGTTCTATTTGTTCTTCCCAAATATAAATTTGAATGTTCAAGTTACACCTCCTCCTCCTGCCTCTCAAGATCTGATAACCTCTTATGCCTCCAGCTCTCAACGACTGCATGATGTCTCTAAAATCAATCTGTCCTCCCTCCAAGCCATCTCTGCTGATTTGCAGACAAATATTACCAACTGCCTAATATATAGTTCCATGATTGTCTCCCTCAGGCTTTTCAACCTAAAGCCACCCACGATAAAACGTTCATTTCCTTTAGCAAACCTAAACCATCCCTTTGTTACTCACTTTGGCTAACGGTATTAGAATAGACCCTTGACCACGCTTTCAGGTACCTGTTTGCGAATCGATGATACCGGCACTAACTTCCCTGAGCTACTAGGTCAAAAGTCAACCATTAAACAATGAGTGCCTAATACGGCCAAGAGTTAAGGAACGCAAAGTAGTATAAGATTTTATTCTCCTCCTCCCTAAGAATTTTACAAGCATAAACATATCAAAAACAATTTTTTGTGTGACGCGTTTTCCCACTTACAAATTTACTTTACAAAACATTTAAATTTAATCCTTACTATGGTCCCATTCTTACCTTCATCTTACAAATGAATAAACGAGACTCAAAGGATAAGGCGATTTAACCAAAGTCTTACAAACTGGTGATAGGTCCAGACCCAAAACCCTAGACTTGAGAGTTCAAATTCCACTTTCTATTATTTCTAAATAGACCTCTACACAGTAAAACAAAAACAGGTCTGTATGCAGACGCCACCAGAGCAGCGCACACAGTCAAGTACCAAAGAGCACGAGACGACCCGAACCGCTCTGGGTGGACGGCCCGACTGGCCCGACCCTCGTTCCGGCGCCGCTCTCACCCGGTAAATCCCTTTGCGGCCTGTCTCCAGCCGGCAGTGACCGCTGGAAAACCACACTGCGACTCGGGAAGGTCAGAGTAGAGGCCGCCCCTGCCAACTGGCCCCACCGGCCCGAAGCTGGGTTCCGGCTCGGCCGCAGCCACCGCGCCTCCAGCCCCTGGGACAGCGGACCGGTGGGAAATAAGCGTACCTGAAGGAGACAGCTGGGGGGCAGGAGATACCGGCAACCCTAGAAGACAGGGAGGACCCTGGTGGCCGGCTAGTCCAGCCTCCGGCGCTAACTGCATTCACTATGTTTGATCAACACAGAGCCATAAGGACTCTGGGCAGCAAAAGGACGCCCAGCCTCAAACAACGGATCTGGGGACTTAGAGGCGCCTCTTTTGGAGCAGGGGCGGGGCATCAACCCGTGGGGGCGGAGCCGTAGCGCGGGGAGGCGGGCACGTGGGGGCGAGCGCGAGGCGGGGCGCAGCGAGCGACGGGAGAGGGGGCGGGGCGCGCGTATCTGCGCCGCGGCCGCGTGACGCGTTTTCAAATCTTCAACCGCTTCAATACGCTGGTCTGCGTTTTTCCCTTTCCTCCTCCGCGCCCGAGAGCCGGAGCGACCCCGGAAACCGGCGGGCAGACGCGGCCTTTCTGCTGCGTGGGTGTGGAAGTCCGCGGAAGGTGACGAGCGACTGGCCTGCCAACGGGCCTCGAAGGGCCGTGTTTCCGCGGCCGCCCGGTGCGATTCCGTCTTCGGACCCAGCATGTAGGTGCCGGGCGGCTGCCATGAACTCCGGAGCCATGAGGATCCACAGCAAAGGACATTTCCAGGGTATGAAGCCCCTGCTCCGCCTGCAGCCCCTTTAATCCTGACCTCCCCTGCTGGTTCCATCATTGAGTCTTCACTTCTCCCTCCCGGTACCTGCCTCTTTTCTTTCTGGCTTATGTGTCCTTTGTGGCCTGAAAGAAGGCTCCGTTCAAGAAAGGGAACGGATCCCGGATCCCGGCCGGGACCCTCGCGCTCTCCGCGCTCCAGCCGCTGCCCCAAATTCCCTGCGTGCAGTTGGTTGTAAAACTGGAAAAAAATGTGCGTAGCCCAAACCCCTCCGAGACCTCCGCAGATGCTGGGCCCTGCGCTCAGGCCTTTTAGACTGCAGCTCGATCCTCAGTTCAGAAGCAGATGTTCGGTGGCCTTTCGCTGCATGATTACATTGGATAATTGTGGGTGGATTTTTGGTCTTAATTCTTAAGTTTATTTTCCTTCACTCGTGAAATTAGGGTCAAGTATTTGTATTTAAAACATACCATTGCTATTTTCAACATTGGAGACAAACAGTAACAAAAGCCAGCTTCCATTTTCAGTCACTTTATTTGGTAAAACATTCCAGCCTCTTAAGTTTTTCTTCTTAATATGTGTAGTATATTTATAGTGTAAGTATATAGTAACTTTGAACTTATGAACAGATCGTGTTTTAAAAGTTTATTTTGAAAGCGGTTGTTTGGTTCTCAGATCTGTTTTCAAAGAAAATAATGAACGAATGGTGATTTGGTTCTTCAAATGGACCGTTTAGTTCTTTTAAATATGTAGGCAGCCTATCTGAAATTGAATCTTGAGCAGTCAAGAACTTTTTTGAGGACTAGGTAATTTTAGGTAACAGGTTTCTTGTTAAGGGTCCAGCACTTCAAGAACAAGTTTGAGTGTTCTGGCAGATGCTCCATAGATATTTGTTGAGTGAATAACCCATGCAGCTTACACACTAAGGAGGAAAATCAAAAAGGTTTGTGTAAGTTCCCTGCCTTAAGACATAAAACATGAATAAATGTATGAATATTTCCTGTGGATGCAATTATTGACTGAACAATAATTATTTTATAGTGTCTACTAAAAATATATGAGATATTTGACCTTTATCTTGAGTGGTACAACAAAGAAACAAAATGCTAATGACTTTTAAATTGGTAGGACTATCAAAATTTTTAAAAATATGACTATTTTATAATGAAATTTTTTTTTTGAGAGGGCATCTCTCATTTATTGATCATATGGTTGTTAACAACAATAAAATTCTGTATAGGGGACTCAATGCACAATCATTAATCAACCCCAAGCCTAATTCTCAACAGTCTCCAATCTTCTGACGCATAACGAACAAGTTTTTACATGGTGAACAAGTTCTTACATAGTGAGTAAGTTCTTACATGGTGAACAGTGCAAGGGCAGTCATCACAGAAACTTTCAGTTTTGATCATGCATCATGAACTATAAACAATCAGGTCAATTACGATTATTCGTTTGATTTTTATACTTGATTTATATGTGAATCCCACATTTCTCCCTTATTATTAATATAATGAAATATTTTTAGAACAGTAAAGTTTTCTGTGTAAAACATGATCTAATTCTGTAAACAACAGGTGGAATCCAAGTCAAAAATGAAAAAAATAGACCGTCTTTGAAATCCATGAAAACTGATAACAAACCAGAAAAATCCAAATATAAGCCGCTTTGGGGAAAAGTATTTTACATTGATTTACCTTCTTCTGTCACCGTATCTGAAAAACTGCAAAAGGACATTAAGGATCTTGGAGGGGTAAGTCGAAACTGTACGCTTTAACAAAAAAGGAAAAACTTGTAATTAGTACTTACAAATATGTACGAAATCTTTAAAATTTTTCATTTTGGAAAGCTTATAACCATGTAAGCACCAAGCTTAAAATTTTTATCGGCTTTTACTCATAAATGAAAAACTACTTATTTTAAGCTTTTGCATCCTGACAAAACTTTTAGGTCACTGTAATTCTAGTGTCAGGTTTGCCAAGTATGAGAAATGAGACTCTTGTCCTGGTGGAACCACAGATTGCCTTCTCATTGTAATGTTGGGATGTCCTCCAAATAGCAGGAACTCTATGATTACAATAGAGCCACATAAATTTGTCTGGCATAATAGTAAGGGAAAAATACATTCAAACAAATAAAGAGGTAAAATTACACTTGAATGTTATAATCTCAACAGATTGAATGTCATTCAGGGTTCAGAATTTTGGATTAAAAATATGTAAACCTGTTTCTTACTTTATACATTGAGTAAATGATTAGGAAATTCGAAAATTTGGATAAAATTCTAATATTAGGATTAAGGTTAATATTAGGTAAATTTTAGCAGGTGAGGTTAAGATTTATTAATTTATCTTCTAATTCTTCCTCTTTAAAAGGTGTCTATTGCACTTTGAGTTTGTCAAGGTTAGCGTCTTTAAATAATCTGAATTGATCCTGTCATTCCTAGACTAGAAATGTTTAAAACATGTAACAAGTTTCTTAGAATTGTTTATTGGTGTGATATTTTACTTATTTTTGAAAAGCCAGTCCACTTTTTTGCTGTTAGGCTTAAACACTGTCACACATTTGTCAAAAGTTGCGACATGTATCCTAATGACCATATAACTGCATTCCTAAAGGTCATGTTTTATAGGTCTATCACCACTGAGTGACGACCCATATATTTTAGAAACAAGTACTTCCAGGTCCAGAGAAATTAAACGACTGGCCCAGGACAGGAATAGCCTCTTAATTCTCAGGCTAACATATTACTTCACTGCCTGTTCTCTAGCAATGAATGGCTACAAAGTAGCTATTTGATAGAGTTTCACAGCTTCCTCATATATAATGAATAACCCATTAACCCTCTGATCAAAATTAGTAATTTTAGATTTCTGTTTTTGGTACAAAAGTGGAACTCTTCATGCAGAATCATATTCAGAAGGCCAATGTATAAAATCAGTCAAAAAGGCACTGCTGTAGCTAAAATGGCTACAGTAACTAGTGCAGGGATTACTTGTCCTGCTGTTTTTCTCTTATCCCCACAACAGTTCCTGAGACACATGCAAACAAATTTTGAATTAACATAAGCATTAGATAATAGTTGAGAGTTCTTTTGGTTTTATACACTTCAAATTTTTATCTTAATTAGTCCCGCACAGTGAGGAGAATATTGAGGACATACGTTTCCAAATTTTTCCCCAAAGTTAGGAGTTTTCATAGTTTTAAGATTAAACTTTAAGAGGTGTTCCATTGAATAGATATCTCGTGAAAGGATTTTGTTTATTACTTAATTTTTAGGATTACTTAGGCCTTATATTTCGTAATTATCTTGCTTCAGATTATTAGCAATGTTGACTTTTTCTTTAATTGTGTGCTTTTTGCATTTGTTTTCTCTAGTCTTAATGAGTAGGTCTAAATTTACCCCATTTATCTGGAGAGTATACTTCTGACAAATTCAACTACTGAGAACATAGCAGTGAGGTCGGACGTAATGGGGTAATAGCTTTAATAGTGGCAAGGAAAGTAGCTGTTACAAAACCACCTAAAAAGGACATGGCAACAACCAATCATTTAGGTCCCTGTCTAAACAGTTTGGTTAAAACAAGGCTGTTGGGGAAAAACAGTGATGTGAGGGCAGACACCTTGTCATGTCATCAACTTAAGGGCAGAGTTACTTGTTTGATGCTCATTGTGACCTTGAATCATCAGAAAGTAAGTTTTAAGTTGACTTTTCAGAAGACATAGATTCAACAATAGCTAATAAAATGAAGACCATGATAAAATCATGTCAGCAGTACAGGGCATGGCATTAATTGTTTTGGTAGATTAAAAAATGAATCTTTTGTCCTCCTACTCTCTACCTCTAGTCAAGGTAGAGATGGTATGGATACAGTTAATTGTACCACAACAATTATTGGAGAGATTACTTCCAACTGAAGAATCTTGGAGGTTGTCGTACAGACACAATTTGAACTCAGCTTTAAAGAATGATGATTTGGGCACATGGACATTCAATCAGAAATTATTCCACCAGTGTCTCCCATATGACAGCACTATTTTAGGTGCTGGGGATGCAAAAATAAGTAAGATGTATCTAATGCTCTAGGAATTCTGTCTAGGAACATCAGACACTTAAATAAATAATTTATATTACAGAATCTTCAGTGCTTTAACAGAAGTTACATGGCAATTGCCATTCAAATGCAGAGAAGAAAATGGTTAACTTGGCTTCAGGAATCTTAGCAGAGATAAAATCTGACCTGTCTTGAAAGCCATAGGAGTATGCCAGGTAGAAGGGACAAACTAAATAGAAGAAAGAGTATGTTCAAAATACACATATGTGGTTTGAGCACCTACTGATAATTATGGTTTGAGCTTAGGATTTAGATGGGGGAAATGGCAGTAACAATATTATATTGGGGCCAATTGTAAAAGACATTTTATTCACTACTAAAGAGTTATAACTTGAGCTATAGGAAATGGAAAACTAAAGGAAATGTGTGGTACCAGCATAAGGACAGACATACAAACCAATGCAATGGAATAGAGACCCTGGAAATAAACTATCACATAGATGGTCAATTGATTTTCAACAAGTGTGCCAAGGTCATTAAGTGGGGAAAGGACAATCTTTCTACAGCTGATGCTAAGAAAACTATATCTACATGTGAGTGAATGAAGTTATACTTTTATCATACATCATATACTAAAACTAATTTAAAATGGATCAATATCTAAATGTAAGAACTAAAGCTCTTACAGGAAAGTATGGGAAAAGAGTGTCATAATGTCTTTGGGTATGACACCAGAAGCTCACAACAAATGGAAAAATAGAAAAATAAGACTTCATAAACATGAAGAGGTTTCATGCATCAAAGAATAAGTTAAGAGGGTAGAAAGAACCCACAAAAGGGATGAAAAAAAATACTTGCAAATCATATATTTGATAAGGGGGTAATATCCAGAATATTGGAAGAACTACTATAACTCAACAAAAACTTGAATAGACATTTCTCTAAGAAAGATGTACAAATGGCCAGTAAGTACATGAAAAGATGCTCAACAGCACTAATTAGCAGGGAAATAAAAATCAAGACCACAATGAGATAATCACTTCGCATCCATTAGGATGACCACTGTCAAAAAAATTAAGTGTTGGCAAGGATGTGAGGAAACAAATGCTTGTGCACTATTGATAGGATAGTAAAAATGTGACTGCTATGGAAAACAGTATCGTGGTGATTCCTCAAAAAATTAAATATGGAATTACCATGTGATCAAGCAATTCCTCTTTTGGGTATATATCTGAAAGAATTGAAAGCAAGGTCTTGAGATACTCATATACCCATGTTCATATCAGCATTATTCAGAACAGCCAAAAGGTGGAAACAATCCAAATGTTCATCACCAGATGAATGGGTAAATGGAATGTGGTATATACATACAATGGAATATCATTCAACCTTCAAAAGGAATGAAAGTCTGGTCCATGCTACAATATAGATGAACCTTGAAAACACTGCTAAGTGAAATAAGCCAGACACAAAATAACAAATACAGGATTTCACTTATATGAAGTACGTAGAAGAGTCAAAACTGTAGAAACAAAGTAGAATAGAGATTATAAGAAGCAGGGAAGAGGAGGATAAATGTTAAACGGTTATAGAGTTTCAGCATAGGATGATGAAAAAGTTGTGGAAATGGATAGTGGTGATGGTTTCACAATTTTGTGAATGTACTTAATGCCAATGAATTGTACACTTAAAAATTGTTAAAATGGTAAATTTTATGTTACATGTATTGTTTTAAAAAATGTATAGGAGATTGAGTTTCTCTTGAAAGATTGCATCTGGCTAGGGCCACATATTTTTGAATATGAAGAATGTATTTGATGTGTAAATCATTTATATTCCTTCTGGCCCTTGTAGGCATTTGAGTTTGTAATCTCTGTAATAAATAAATGTGGGTACTTTATTTACTGGTCGATGAAAATATTACTCAGAAAAAGGAAGTAGTGATTTGCATTTAATCAATGGAGCTGTTGGTCTCAGCAGCAAATTCTGCTGAAAGTTTAGGTGAAATTAACTCATTTATTAGATATTTCATTTTTTTATTCTCCCCATTTATGTTGTGAATCCTATAGAAATTAGATATAGCTATTTAAAATACTTAAGAAATCTTTCATTTATACTAATAGGTAATGATAGTATTTATTTCTACTTAGTTTAGTTTTCCTGCCTTTGGATGGGCATGTCCATCCATTGGATGGGATTGGAAAGTCAGTAACATTGACTTTGCTACATGTGTTTATAAATTCAGGAATTTAATCAGTGGTTTTTCAAACATTTTAGTAGGGAAATTCTCTTCACACAGTCTTACACTCTTAAAGGTAAGAGTCCCCTCCTTGTTAGTTTAAGTCTTAAGGGAAGATACTGTAACTTCATTATTTTAAACTGTGTTGTCCAGTATGGTAGCCATTAACCAAAGGTGGCTATTTAAATTTAAGTTAATCAGTACTATATTAAATAAAATTTAAAATTCACATTAGTTACATTTCAAGTACTCAGTAGCACATGTGGTGAGTTGCTATAGTATCAGACAGTGCTGATAAAGAACATTTCCATCATTTGCAGAAAGTTCTACTGGACGGTACGGCTTTTAGAGCATGGATTTGAATCAATACCTATGTTCAAATTCTGTTACATCCAGTGTAAGCACAAGAAAGTCATTTAACTTGTCTTCCATTTTCTTCACAAAATATGAATAATACTAATATTAGTACTATGGGGTTGTTATATGGGGGTCAAATTAAATGTGATATGTAAAATACCTAAAAAATAGTATCTAGCACATGCTGTTGATGTTCTTTTTGTTATTGCAAGTCCCATTGTGCTTCCTCAGAACTGTTAGGTTCAGAAGAACACAGTATAGAAACCACCAATTCACAAAATACTAAAATGCATCAAACTGTCATTTTATACTATTCCTAGGATATGAAATAGTTTGTGGTTTATGTGCCTTACTTAAAAATACTTTTTCTTTTAGCGAGTTGAAGAATTTCTCAGCAAAGATATCAGTTATCTTATTTCAAATAAAAAGGAAGCTAAATTTGCACAGACTTTGGGACGAATTTCTCCTGTACCAAGTCCAGAATCTGCATATACTGCAGAAACTACTTCTCATCCCAGCCATGATGGAAGTTCATTTAAGTCTCCAGATTCAGTAAGTTTCTTAGATATGCTTTGAAACTTTCAGAAAGGTTAAAGTCTGAGCACTTTGTGATTTTCAAGAGCAAGCTGGCAGCTTAGTTCACTTAGGTATCAAATATCTATCTACTTTATGGATGGTTTTTCGATCATTAATAAAGTTCCTGTCTTATAAAAAGATATTTTTTTCCTAATAGTATTTATGTGGTCATAGTCTGATTTCTAAAATATGCCCTTGCATTTACATATGTTTTGTTTTTTTTTTTAGGATAATTTGCAACTAAAATGTAACAGCAGATCATTTTTAAAAATAAATTAAAAACTCTTGTTTGTTTCAGAGCAGGAGTAAGCAAATTATGGCCCATGGGCTAAATCAGCCCTGCTGCCTGTTTTTTAGTCTATGAGATAAGTGTGGTTTTTACATTTTAAAATGGTCAGGTAAAAATTAAAATATTTTGTGACAAGTGGAAATAATAGGAAATTCACATTTTTGTCCATAAATGAAGTTTTGTTGGAACACAACCATATCTATTTGCTAACATATTGACTGGTTGCTTTCTTGCTATAAAAGCAAACTTGGATGGTTGCGACAAGACTATATGGCCTGCATGGCTTAAAACATCTGGCCCTTTACAGAAAAAGTTTGCCAGCCCCTTTTCTAGAATTACTGACATCACATCACTACCCCCTCATCGACCATAAGTTGGAAGATACAGTAGTAAAGGATAAATTAAATTAATTGAGTATGGAGAGGAAAAGAGATTGAAAAATAAAGTGTTTATCTCAGTTTTGTATTGAAATAAAATTATTTTCAAATATTCTCCCCATTTTCTGTAGCCATTAAGGAAGCATTAAAAGGTGGGTGGTGGAGGGTGGAGACAGAAGGAGTGAGTTCCATAAGAGATACTGCTTGAAAAAAGAAACAAATGCATAGAAGAAACAAAGTCAAGGAAGGTTTTACATTCTTTCAGCTACTGCCTTTTTGGAGGAATGAGTGATATTCCAGTGACTTGTTGCTTGTAGCATTTCAACTGCTTTTCCTAGTGTTTTATTTAGAAAGTTAAATACCATGTAAAAATAGTATATGCAGTTTATTCGTCTTCTTAGATTTCAACTTAATAGGAAACTAAAATCTAAACTTACTATTTAGACAATTTTTTTTCATGTTGACTAGAATTTACAGAACTAAACTTGGGTCTCATTCAGTTGAGTATAGTTGCTGTACCAAAGAAAGAAGAAACAAACTTTTTAGTAGGAGATCTTATTACAAAGGTCCTAAGGGAATCACTGCTGAACACTCAGCATTTATTGTTGATAATCATTAAGACTTATACAAATAAAATTATTTTAAATTTCATACTTACTGTAAAATTAATCTGTAAATTAGCTTTTTAACCTTTTTTTCCCAATGAAGCACTGTTACAACTTTCTATGTTTGATCTCTGGTCTTTTTATAGGTATGTTTGAGCAGAGGAAAATTACTAGTTGAAAAAGCTATCAAGGACCATGTAAGTAGGAACTTTAAAAATTCACAGCATGTGTTTTGCTATTAAAACTGAGGTAGAAAATGAAGATGTCCCTAAAATCTTCCTTTCCTCATTTTTAATAGGAAAAGGCTAAAAGTTACAGCATGTATCTCCTCAGAACCTGCTTTTCATGAAGAAACATCTCCATCTTGTGGCCTTTTAAAATACTACTGGAGATTTCTAAGCTTGTGGCATTTTTGCATTTTTAAATGAAATATAATTTCTTAAAACTTAACTCTAAGGCTAGAGTGAATTAATTATCAAGAATATGGAAATACATTAAGCAGATTGATTTCAGAAGAAAAAAAACTGATGTACTCATTGCTATTGTAACTATAAGATCTCTTCTGAATAACTACCTCATGACATTAAGCTTCAAATGATTAAAGTAGCTCATTTAAAGTAGTAATTTCCCAGAAAAACTCAAACTTTTTTATTTTACAGGATTTTATTCCTTCAAATAGTATATTGTCAAATGCCTTATCATGGGGAGTGAAAATTCTTCATATTGATGGTAAGGATTTTATTATTGTTTATTGACAGTATTTGTTAAAAGTATCGATTTCTGTCCTTTGGTTCTTAATTTTACATAGTGAGAATTAAAATAATGCGAGATACCTATAATGGTAATTCTTTCATCCAAATTTAGTATATTTATTTATAAGAAAATAACAATCTTTAACTCTGAAGATAAATACTAATCTTAAACCCTTCTTTCTTTTAATAAAGACATAAGATACTACATTGAACAAAAGAAAAAAGAGTTGTATTTACTCAAGAAATCAAGTACTTCTGTAAGAGATACCGTATGTAATTTTCCATTCTTTTTAAATTACTTAAGTGATTAACTTGGTTTTTATTTATTTATCTGTAAATTTTTCTTGCCTAGTAGAAAATATATTGACAGAATATCCTGGTGGTAAGCCTGTGTGGACTGTATGCATGTTTCTATTATTTGAATAAATTGTATATAATTTAACTTTAGTATTTACTCATGAGGTAAAAGTTGTTTCTGGGATAGTAACATAAGTTTTTTTGTTTTCTTTTTCTTGCTGCTGATTTATAAGATACTTTTGTTCATTTTCATGGAAAATACTACAATTAGCTTATCAAATGAGAAGTTTCTAATATATAGAATATACTCCTTTTGGAAACATAAAGAGGAAATATACTTCCCAACTGCTTTAGATGGTGATATAATAAAATCTTATTTAATATGATTGTTCTGGTCTGACCTAAAAATTTGTTAAATAACGCATTGGGCATTGCAGTCTGTTAGACCTAATGTTCCCATATCTTCAGTCTCTCACCTTTTTTACTAGGCCTCCTTGACACCTGTGGACAAAATCAAGCCTTGTCCATCCTCTAAAATATACAGTAAAACATCCTTGATCTCTCTTCCCTACCTAAATACTACCCAGTCTTTATATCCTCCAAACTTCTCAAATCTCCACTTTTATACATCCCATTTACTCTTCAGTTTATGAGGTATAAAACTACTGACCAATTTGCCAAATCAAATTAACACATTTTAAAACCAGTCATATTGGTTCTCTCAGCTACAGTCCATTTGTTCTTTGAATTTACCTGTTTTCTTCTAGAGCTCGTCTCATCTCCTAGGTTTCTCATTGTACTCATATTTCATCTGCTTTTTCTTTACTCAATCCTTAAATGACTAGACTCTGAAAAGAAAATAAATTTTATAGAGTATATAAAGACATGAAGCCATAAATAGACTGACATGTTTTAGAAATTTTCTGTGGTATAAAAAAACGATGATTGAGTGAGAGAATGACAAATGAAGTTGAAAAAATCAGCAACTTTAAATAGGACCCTTGTACACTGTATAAAGAAGTTAGATTTTATCTTAAAGTGTTTGGAAAATTACTGAGAGATTATTAATACAATAATTAGGTTGGATAGACATTTGGGAAAGATCCTCTGGTTGCCAGTAAAGAATATTGGACAATGACTGTTGAACGATCTTAAACATAATTTTTAATAAGAAACATCATAGCTGCCCCATATATGCATTTTATATGTGAAGATTCATGAAGTCTATGAATTTTACATTTTTAATAAATTCATATTTATATAAGATGAACAATTTGCAGAGAGCAAAATGATCGAATTATATGACAGATAGTAAAGTAAAACTGTATATACTTCATTTGTTTGGGTGTTTTATTTACAAGTAAAAAAAGTTCCAAATGCCTGTTGCCAAATTTTTGCGAACTGATTAATTTTTGCAAATTAATTGAAATCTGCTGAACAGTGTGTAAGCTTTCAATTCATTTGGGTAAATACCAAGGGTATGCATGATTGATGGATTGTACAGTAATAGTATGTTTAGTTTTGCAAGAAACTACCAAACTGTCTTCCTAAATGTCTGTACCATTTTATATTCCCAGCAGCAATGAATAAGAGTTCCTGTTAATGATACTGGTTTTCATCTTGATTCAATTGAAAATACATAAAAATTTCTCTTACCACCTATTCTTTGTCCTGTTGGTTATGTAGAAGTATATCATTTGCTTTCAAATTTGCGATTTTCCAGATACCTTTGTTACTGATTGCTGTTTTAATTCTGTTAAGGTCAGAGTACATAATTTATATGATTTCACACATTGTTCTTTTAAGTTTGTCATTTGTTATATTGCCCAATATATAGTTTATTTTAGTGCAAATTGGAAAATATATATATATTATGCTGTTAATGGGTGTAATGTGCTATAGATTTTAAATATTAAATAGGTCAAGTTGGATGATAGTATTAATCAGGTCTTCTGTATCCATACTGATTTTCTGTCTTGTTCTAGGCATTACTGAGAGAGAAGTTGCCAGATATATTGTGGATTTGTGGATTTTTCCTTTCAGTTCTATCGTTTTTTTATTCATGTATTTTGAGCCTTGTTAAGCATGTATACATCTAATAAGTCTTATGTCTTCTTGGTGAATTGGACTTTTTATCATATAATGTCCCAGTCTGTCCTTGTTAGATTAGTGCTCCTCGTTCTGAAGTTGACTCTGTCTGACATGATATAGCCACTCCAGCTTTCTGTTGGTTAGTGTTTACATGGTGTATCTTTTTGGTTCCCTTTACATTTAATATTACCTATGACTTTATATTTAAAATGTGTTTGTTGTAGACAGTAAAAAGTCTTCTTATCAAATCTGGCAATCTCTTAATTGGTATATTTTAGTGATTTATACTTAATAATTGATACCATCGAATTTAGGCCTGCCAAGGTACTACTACTGGTTTTTTTGTGGATGATCTGTGTATTTTATTCCTGTTTCTCACTTTCCAGCTGCTTTTCAGATTGTTTTAAGATCTGTTGGCTTTTTTGGTTTTATTTCTTCATTTTTGTTTTGTGTTTTATTTTAGTGGTTGCTCTAGGATTTAAACTATACATATAGGTAATCTTTCATAGTCTGTTTAGAATTAATATGTTACGTGCTTCAAATAAAATATAGAAGTCTTAAAACTTTTTGAGCTTTTTACCTCTCCTCCCCCCACCAGTCTTTATGGTGTAGTTATTTTGATTACATCTGCATATATTGAAAAACCTACCAGTATTATCCTTTTGCTTGAAAAAGTCATATTGAAAAACTTAAGAGGAGGAAAATAGTCTTATTTAGCTAGATGTTAACTCTCTTCATTTGCTGTTTCTTCATCCCTGAAGTTAGAGGTTTCCCTCTGCTAACTATTTTCCTTTAGCCTGAAGAACTTCTTTAGCATTTTTTAAGAGCAGATTTGTCAGCAATGAATTTTCTTTATTTTCCTCAATGTGAGAACGTCTTTATTTCACCTTCATTCTGCAAGATACCGTCAATGGATAAAGAATTACGAATTACAGTTCTTTCGTTCAGCACTTTATGGGTATTCTAGAGCTGTATTCTGCCTTTGGTGGATTCTGATGAAAAGTGTACATTCTAATTGTTGTTCCCTTATATGTAATGATCATTTTTTCTCTATGTGCTTTCAAGATTTTTCTTTATCTTTGGTTTTCAGCATTTTGATTGTGATATAACTAGGCATGGTTTACTTAGAGATTATTCTCTTTGCTGTTCACTGAACTTCTTGAATCTGTAAGTTTATGTTTGCATTTTTGTTCATATTTACATTTTATTACATTTTGTTTACATTATGTTTACATTTGCTGTTCACTTAGCTTCTTGAATCTGTAAATTTATGTAAAGTTTGGCTATTATTTCATTGAAATTTTTTTTCATTCTCTTTACAACGCCAGCAACAGTGATGTTAGACCTTTTAATATTAATTATAGCTAGAATACAACTTGTTGGGTCCCTGTTCATTTTTCTTTCCAGTATTTTATTTTTACTGTTTTTTAATTGAATATTTCTGTTCATCTGTCTTCAAGTATACTGATATTTCATTCTGCTATTAAGACCACTCAGTAAATTCTGTATTTCAAATTGTATTTTTCATTTCTACAATTTCCACTTGAGAAATTTTTATCTTTCCATGCATTTTAGTGTATTTTTATTTTTACTTTAAAGTCTTTTTCTGATAATTCTGACATCAAGAACACCTTGGGGTTGGCATCTGACTTGTCTTTTCCCTCAAGAATTGACTGTGTTTTCTGGTTCTTATTATGTCATAATTTTTTACTGTACATTAGATACTGTAAAATTTATGTTATGTAGACTGCAGATCTATTATAATACTCTGAAGAACTGATTTTGTTGTTTTTGCTGTCATTGTTTTAGTAGCCAGTCATCTAATTTTTTTCAAACTTAGCGGTTGTCTCAGTTTCTGTAGGTGGCAGTTCTAATCTCAGTTTCCATTTTCAAAGACTTGTATGCAGTTTTCTGTGTGTTCTACATATGCACCTCTCAAGATTAGTCCAAGACTTGGGCAGTGATTTAAATCTTGGTTTCATTTTGAAAGCCATTGCTATGCTGCGTGGGGTCTGTCCTTAGCATATGCAGCTTAGAGGTCAGCCTTTGAAGTAAGCCTGTTAGTTATATGGGCTTATCCAGGGAGTTATGGATCCCCTTCTCCAGCTGGCTGCTCTACAGTTTACCCTTCACTCTCCAGTTTACAGTGACCTTTTCCTAGTTTCTGTTTTGAGAAAGTTACGGTTTCTCAATTTTAGCTGTCTGTGGCACCTTTACAATTGCAGTTTTGTAACTGGGGCTTCCCCTCAGGGTAAAACTGTGGGAGAAAAGAAAGAAGAAATAATAACAGGGATTCCCTTTGTACTCTTTGGACTGCAGGAGCCTCTTTTCTGGCTCTTCCTAGCCAGAGAGATGGGATTTATATAGGAGTTTTAGCCACTGGCTCCACTACTGCTGCCAACTCTGTGACTATAGAGGTAACATTGCAAGAGAAGTGGGGAATGGGAAATGGGAAACTTAGGCTCCTTAAAAGGAGCCTCTCCAAGCTTGACTTCCTCCTACAATGCGCCTGGTTTTGTGTACTTTTCAGTCCACAGGTGGTTGTTTCCTGTATTTTGTCCAGAGTTTTTAGTTGTAATCAGTGAGATTGATTGACCAATATGGTCAATCTTGACTGGAATTGACTGACTATAATAAATTTTTTAATAATTCCTTTGTTAAGTTTATCATAAAAGTTTTACTGAATGAGAGCATAAAAATAATTTATATTGACTGTTTATAGATTATTTCATCAACTGTACCTTTTCCACACTGGTTGATACCTTTCTGTGAAAACAAAAAGAATTAGAGATAGAATGCAAGGTATTTGTTGCCCATATTGGAAAAGTGTGAGCTTGTATTACTAAATTCCTTACCAATGACTAAAATCCTTTAACTTTTGAGTTATCATTGTTTCATATCTTTGGTTGAATTGATTTTTATTTATATATTTTGCTCCCTTTTTTTGGTATCATTAATATACAATTACATGAGCAACATTATGGTTACTAGACTCCCCCGATTATCAAGTTCCCCCCACATACCGCATTTCAGTCACTGTCCATCAGCATAGTAAGATACTATAGAGTCATTACTTGTCTTCTCTGTGTTACTACTTTCCCCATGCCACTCCTCCCACTACCACCCCCATGCTTACCCCTCTGCCCCCATCCTCCCCAGTCCCTTTCCTTTTGGTAACTATTAGTCCATTCTTGGGTTCTGTGAGTCTGCTGCTGTTTTGTTCCTTCAGTTTTTGCTTTGTTCCTATACTTCACAGATGAGGGAAATCATTTGATACTTGTCTTTCTCTGTCTGGCTTATTTCACTGAGCATAATACCCTCTAGCTCCATCCATGTTGTTGCAAATGGTAGGATTTGTTTTCTTCTTACGGCTTAATAATATTCCATTGTGTATATGTACCACCTCTTGTTTATCCATTCATCTACTTATGGACACTTAGGTTGCTTCCATCTCTTGGCTATTGTAAATAGTGCTGCGATAAACATAGGGGTGCACATGTCTTTTTCAAACTGGGCTCCTGCATTCTTAGGGTAAATTCCTAGAAGTAGAATTCCTTGAATTGATTTTTAAAAGCAAGTTTTTCTCTTTTTTTGTCCTGCAAAGATGGAATAATCACCCTTCTTATATATAGTTCTTTCCCTATATGGTTTTTTTATCTTGAGGATATTGAGCAATTGCATTTGTTGTTTTCACTGTACTTTTAAACCCAGCACATTTCACTGCATTTTTTCACCAGTATTTTTTTCTTTTTTTTAAAGGGAAAAAGAGGTATTGGCACACAGAGAGCAAGAAGTAAGTATTTTGATATTTTTAACTGTGTTTGGCTTGCTTTTAGAAAAATAGAACAAATCATATAAAAATCTTCTAAGAAATAATGTAGACAACCCTTTAAATGACTTAATTTAGTAGTTCTTGGCCATTTTTAGAATGTGGGACCTTGTAGCAGTTTGGTGAAGCCTGTGGACCCCTTCTTAGAATAATGTTTTTAAAAACATTAAAAAAAAATCAATAGATTTGTAAGAGTTACCTATATTAAATTTAGTTTTCAGAATATTTTAAACTATAAAATAATGATATAGTTGATTTTATTACACATTAAAAACAATTTCTGGTAGTGATTCTAATTGCTACTGTAATTTTGAAGTGATGAGCAAAAATAAATGATGCTTCGAGACATCTGTAATAACTAATATGCTATGAAAATGTTTCAATTAGTATCAAAATTATAGGCACTATTAATACTACTGTGATCCTATTGATTATATGCATAATTGGAGGAAATTTTAAATTCCAGTTAGGTACTAGTAAAAATGAAAGTTGAATTTTTTCCTCATTCCAGCTTAGAATTCTCCTGAATTCTATTCATAGCTCCTTTGGGAGATTGATTCACTTTAAGAATCTCAGAATATAGACAGAACTTCTGTTATTTTGGAAAGGGGTTGATATGTAAAATCACCTGATGCTTAAAACTTCATATGGAAATAGATAATGGATACAGAAGATCCCTGACATAAAATGGTTCCACTTAGAGTTTTTCGACTTTATGATAGTGCGAAAGTTATACACATTTAGTAGAAACCATACCTCAAATTTTCTATTTTTATCTTATCCTGGGCAATGTGAAAGATGATATTTTGTCATGATGCTGGACAGTGGCAGTGAGCCAAAGCTCCCAGTCAGCCACCTCATCACAAGGGTGATGAGCCCATACCCTCAACAACCATCTATAGCCATACAGCCATTCTGATTTTCACTTGCAGTATTGTATTCAATAAATGACATGAAATATTCAACACTTTATTATAAAATAGGCTTTTAGATGATTTTGCCCAACCATAGGCTAGTATAAATGTCCTGAGCCCATTTAAGGTAGGCTAACCTAAGCTTTGATGTTTGGTAGATTAGGTGTGTTAAATGCATTTTCAACTTAGGGTATCTTTAACTTATGATGGGTTTATTGAGATGTAACCTCTTTGTAAGTCAGGAAAATCTGCATAATTTCCTCCCACTCCCGGATTTGTATCTAATGTCATGTTTTGTATGTTCTCAAGCAGGTAGACTCAAAAAGCCTTTTGTAAAGGTGGAAGATGTGAGCCAGTAAGTATCTAAGTTCAATCTGTTTGATTTAAGTACAATACTAAAGGAGAAAATCTAATTAAAGTACCTCCACTAATATTGTTAGGTTCCTTTAAGTTAGATTTATATTAAACTAATACACGTGTGGCACAAGTTACAGAAAGTTGCATTAATTAATTTGTGCTCAAGGACTGAAGTTAGTTTCAATATGTTATAGATAATAGTTCCTTGAAATATCTAGTTTAGAGCAATCACAAGACCAGCTCTTTAGTATGGCAAATAACCATTATCTGGCTAAGTGTAGTACTATATGATTTGGAAGTACTATGTAAAGATTGCTTATACATTTGTGAAACAAATTATTGGTACTATTTTGAAAATACAAAATCTGTGTATAACATCTACTTTGGTACTTTTTCTAAGCTTTTTCTTAAGTTTTATAGGATAGTCTTAGTGTACTACAGATGTAAGTAAATTACCTTGGCATGGGAGAATTAGCTTTCTCTTGATGTTCTAGTTACTCATTTAGACATGTATGATTGATTAATTCTCAGGTGCTCACAAAGATGTATTAAATTCTTTTTATGAAATGTGATACTGTGGAGGAAAAAACGCAATTCAGAATTAGGCCTAGAGAAGGTACCAATAAATGGGAAGACAGCCCATGTTCAGCGATTGGAAGACTACATATTTTCTTGTTAAGATGTCAGTACCATCAAGTGATCTACAGATTCAGTGCAATCCCTATCAAAACCCAGTGACTTTTTTTTGCAGAAAGAGAAAAGTCTATCCTAAAATTCATATGGAACCTCAAGGAACCCTGAACAACCAAAACAATCTTGAATAGGAAGAATAAAGTTGGAAGTCTACACTTGCTGATTTCAAAACTTGATACAAAGCTACAGTAATCAGGGCACCTTGGTGTTAAAGACAGATGTATAGACCAATGGATAGAATAAAGAGCTCAGAAATAAATCTGTTCATGTATGGTCAAATGATTACTGACAAGGATGCCAAGATCAACAAATACTATTGGGAAAAATAGATATCCATATGCAAATTATATACCATGTGCAAAATTAATGCAACATGGATCAAAGACCGTGAACTATAAAACCCTTGGAAGAAAACGGGAAAAGCTTTTGACATTGGATTTAGCAGTGATTTCATAGATAAATACACCAAAACGACAAGTGACAAAAGATTAAAAAAATAAATTTGACTACACCAAAATTATAAATTTCTGTACACCAAAGTGAAAAGGCAATGCATGGAATGGGAGACGATATTTGTAAATCAGACATCTAATAATGAAAAATAGAAAAATCAAATGACCAGATTAAAAAATGACCAGATGATTTGACATTTCTCCCGAAATTTATGGATTGCCGACAAATATATGAAAACAAGTTCAACATTACTAATTATCAGAGAAATGCTAATCAAAACCACAGTGAGATATCTTTGTCACCTCATACCTGTTAGGATGGCAGCTATCCAAGAAACAAAATAACAAGTGTTTGTGAAGAAATTGGAACCCTTGTCCACTATTGGTGGGATTGTAAAGTGATGTAATTGCTATGGTAAGCAGTATGGAGGTTCCTCACAACATTAGAACTACCATATGATCTAGCAGTTCCACTCTGGTTATATATCCAAAAGAATTTAAAGCAGGGTCTCAAAGAGATAACTTCACATACATGCTAATAGCAGCACTATTCACAATAGCCAAGAGGTGTGTGTGTACACACACGCACACACACACACACCCTCCCTCTCTCTCTCTCTCTCTCTCTCTCTGGAATATTATTCAGCCTAAAAAGAAATGAAATTCTGAAACATGCTGTAACATGGATAAACTGTCAGGACATAATGCTAAGTGAAATAAGAGAAAAAATACTGCATGATTCTACCTAATGAGGTACTTAGTCAAATTCATAGAGACAGAAAGTAGAATAGTGGTTGCCAGGGGTTGACAGGAAGGGAGAATAGGTGGTCACTGTTTAATGGGTATAGAGTTTCAGTTTTGAAAGATGAAAAGAGTTTTAGAGATTGATGGTGCTAATGGTCGCAAAGCATTGTGAATGTATTTAATGTGACTGAATTGTACACTTAAAAAATGGTTAAGATTTTTTATGTATTTTACCATAACTTTTAAAAACTTTTTTTGTATGTTAAGAAAAGTAATAGTCCTACTTAGGACTATTCTAATAGAAATAGAATAGAATTGGGAAGGGAAGCCAAACTGATTTCTGTTACTGATTTCAGGTTCCAGATGAATTACATGATTTTTAAATATAAGACTTAAAACATGTTTTCTTACATCATAAGGAATCTCATGTATTTGTCTTTTTATTCTTTTAGACTTTATAGGCCATTTTATCTTCAGCTGACCAATATGCCTTTTATAAATTATTCTATTCAGAAGCCCTGCAGTCCCTTTGATGTAGATAAGCCATCCAGCATCCAAAAGCAAACTCAGGTTAAACCAAGGTAGGTATATACCTTCAAGTAATTTTTATTCTTTTAAAACCAACATTTAAACTAATTAATTTAATGCCATGGCTGGGTGTATGTGTGTTTCTAATCACTATTATGGTTTTCCCCCTGTAAATTTTTGATGCCCTTTTACTATATTTGAAGTCTGAATTTCTTCTAATTAAAGTGTGTCACATTTAGACACTCAGGTAGTTTGGGGGGGAGGGATTTGAAAATATTTACAAATAATTAAAATGTGTTGTTTCTCTTAAGTGATCTGAAGTATTCTCCAGAATAATCGTTACATTCTTAGTTTGCCTCTCAATATATTAAAAAGGAAATATGGTTAAAAGCATGATAAATCTCTATGCAAATTATGGCAGATACTATTTGATAAGTGGGGACTATAATTATTATGTTCAGTTAATTCTTTTGCCATATTTTTATCAGAATCTGGACAGATGGCGATAAATGTGGTGGAATCCCAGTTCAACTCCAGCTGAAAGAAAAGAAAAAAAAAGGATATTGTGAATGCTGTCTGCAGAAATATGATGATCTTGAAACTGTAAATGTCATTTTATATTAGGGGTTGATATTTCAGAAACTATGAATAATATTTGCTGCTTAAATTTTAGCTTATTATTGTGATAATTAACTAATATATATTTCAGTAAAATTATCTTAAATTTTAAGAAAGGGAAAATGTATATTGAGAAATAATTTCTATTCATTCATTCAACAAATATTTACTGAGCACCTACTATGTGCAAGTCATTGTTCTGGGTGAACACCATTGAGCAAGAGACCAATTCCCTTCCCTTGTAAAGATTATATTCTATGCAGGGGGAGAAAGATATAGAAAACCATAGGATAAAAGAATAACAAAATTATTTAGAGAGTATTAGTGATTAGATCAGTACCTAGGAGAAAATGTAAAGCAGGAATTCAGATGTTGTCTATTTAGACTTGATAAGGAATGCTTAACTGATAAGGTGATACTTGATAAGGTGATACTTGAGTAGAGACACTTGAGTAAGTGAGGTAATAAGACATGTGAATAATGAAATAAGCAATGCAGAAGTACTAAATTAAACTCACTGATGGATTGAAAGAATAGATGATGGTGGCCTGGACTAAGTAGTATTTGTAGAAGTGATGAGACATGGTCAGATTGTGGATATAATTTAAAGGTGGAGCCAAGAAAATTTGCTAATGAGTTGGATGTTGGGAATGAGAAGATGAGGAGTAAGAGTGACTGCAGTATTTCAGGCCTGAGTAATAAAAAACGGATATGTGATTTACTAATGGGAGGATGAGAAGGAAGTGAAGACAATTCTTTGAAGCAACAGAAGGAGAAATGGAATAGTTGGAAGGGTGTAGTGGACAAAGAGACCGTTTTAAAGATGGCAACTGTTAGAATTTGTAAACTGATTTTTTTAAAAAGCAAGAGCTTTGAATCCAGGCTGCCATGTCTGAATCCTGGCTTCTTGTTTGTGTGACTTTGAACAGTTCCTGGTACTTAGGTTTATTATAAATGTTAGTTATTATTGGAATTGTTAATTTTGAAAATAGTAGACAGTTTTGTTGCTTAGTTTTGGTAGAAGATGGAAGAGTTAAGGAGAAAGAATATTTTTAAATGTCTGATTCATAAACTCTGCCTTCATACTCTAAATTGAAGTTTGGTTTATAGCCCAAAATTTATTAGTGCTTTGTATAGTTTTTTTCTGTTTTGTTTGTATAATAAAGGAACAGAACATGGTTAGCTTAAAATTATTTTTAATCAGAAGCTCAACTGTCTCAGAAATATTTCACATTCCCAAAAAACCTTTTTGAAATTTCAATTATTTATTGGTCCTGAACTTTTACTTTGCTGCCTTTGCAGTAGAAAAATCTAGAATAGATGCTTTTCTTCATATCAGATTGTTATCCTAATTTGATACTCAGAAAGTGATGGAGTAAAAAGTGAAATCCTTGGCCATTAGTTGCCACAGTGAAGGAAAATTAGTGAAAGTAGGTGTTGGGGTAGATATTTTTAAATCATTTTATTTTTTACAGTTTTTTGTGTGTACTTTTTTAGTTGGTAAGAATAAAAAAAATGTCTTTTGTTTTTTGAATCTTAGGATTTCTCAGTGATTCAGTTTCATCTGTACCAGGACATTCATTTAACAAATTTAATTACTGTATATTAAGCAACAAACATGGCAGATATATTCTCTACTCTTTATATATCTTATGGTCTGACACAGAAGATAGATGTAAAATAGGTATTTGCAAGTGGGCTGAGTGTTTCAAAGGTGACATGAAATAAAGTACAATGGTAATAAATAAAGAGGGTACTTAACCATAGGACAAGGCACATAGAAGGTTCAACTGCTTGAAGGATTAGTAAGAGTTAGGCAGAAGTAGAGGGGAACTACATAAAAGTTGGAGCTTATGTTCTTAATTTATTTCAGTTAATAAATTATTTTTCCAAGAACATGAATAAACTGAATCTGAACTATTAGAGCTAATTTAAAAAAAATTTTTTAATCTTTCTCATTTGTTTAACATTACTCGGCATATGGAATTTGAATATGGTAAGTTTGCAAGTAAGGAAGGAATACATACATATTCTAGAATACTATGTTTTTTATAACCACTGAAGAATTTTGTTTTGGAAATACAGTCAGATCATCCCAAGTTAAAATGTTATGAAACTAGGGAAACAGAAATTAGGTTTTACCATGATCATCTTTGTATTGGCTTCTATACACAATTCTGTGATCAACTGAGAGACAGGTGACAGAAATTAACCTGGAGATTCCATCTACTCAGAAGAAGCTTGGTTTCCTGTGACTTTTATCCCAGTATACTGAACTTGTTTACTTTTCTTTTTGAACACTCTTGATTGAGAATAACTTGTCCGTATTCTCCCTTGTTAGCACTTAACTTGCTCATTCTCAAATGTGTTCTTCATTGATGAATCTTTTCTTTTTTTATACTTCACAGCATTCATTCTGCTTCATTTGTTTGTTTAATCTACCTTCCCAAATTCTTATTTTGAAGTCTTGTATGTTAAATTATAACATTTCATTCACAAGTAAGCTCCACTTTACTTGGTGGTAATTGTTTAAGGATAAGATAAAATAGTAAAGGGAAAAGTGTTTTCAAAAATATTAGCACACTCTGAATGTTAAGTGTCACTATTGTTTTTCTTCCTTATCTTCCTTATCAGAGTTCATTTGTTTTCAGTTCCATTGAAACCAATAATTAGTTAGTACTTGACTAATTAGTTAGTACTTAACTTTGCTCTTTAAAAATGGAAGACTTTGAAAACCAAAGTAGTTGTAGTGGTTTATCACAAGTTTATTTTACTTCTTAACATCCTTTGAAGTTCTAGTAAAGGATATTTCTTTGGAGTAGTTACTAGAATCCTAATTTTAGGGGCATGAAAACATTAGAAAGCCTGAAGGACAACAACAAAACTCTCTGTTGGTTTAAAAATATAATTTTATGATTTATATGCTTTCTGTTTTAGCATCTTCTAAGTGAGCAACACAAAAACTTTGCACAGAGTAATCACTATCAAGTTGTTGATGATATAGTATCTAAGTTAATTTTTGACTTCGTGGAATATGAAAGGGACATGCCTAAAAAGAAAAGGTAATTTATCAACCTAAGTTTTAAATTTTACCAGAATATTAAAATTTTCTTAAACTAAGAATAAATCCAAAGTTTCCTCTTCTTGGAATATGTATTTTCAGGATGTACATATGGTTAAGAACCAATTACTTCTTTCTTCTCTCCCTCTTCCTCTACTACCAAAAGTGCTTACCTTAGATTACCTTAAGGATTTTTTTGGCTTTATACCTTAAAGAGGAGTTGGCAAACTTTTTCTATAAAGAGCCAGGTAATAAGTATTTTAGGCTTTGTGAACCATAGGATCTCTGGTTCAGCATTCAGCTTTGCCCACTGTACAGTAAAAGCAGCCACAGACAATATTTAAGCAAATGGGTGTGGCTATATTCCAATGAAACTTTATTTAGAAAAGCATGTCAGACTAGACTACATTTGGTCTGTGTGCTAATACATAGTTTTTCAATACCTGATCTAAAAAATGAAGTTTATCATCTATGTAGACTAAAAAAGGTAGAATTTTGAATCTTAAGGCTTTAAGAAACCCTCCTCTACTTAATTCTGTTAAGCCTTTTTAATACTTTCACTAAATATTTTAGCTTAAACTTTACTTGCTAATGATATTTACTAAAAGTACTGACAGGACTTTTAAAGTGTGAAGTCAGTGCTGCTTAGTGTACAATAACTGCACACTGACAGAATGATCCTGGTTAGATTGTGTCCCATAAATCTAAAGTGAAAGGAAATGCTTTCCTAGAATTGATGGCGACTCAGTAGGCTCTTCAGGCCTTACATGTTTTTAGACTAATCTTAAGGCATGAAGAAGATGAGTAAATAAATAATGAGCTACAGCTTCTGAAAATTAATGAGAAAGCTTTTTGACTTATCTAGGTAGAATAGTTCCTAAACCTCATTATTTCTCTTAACATTCAGAATAGTCGTGCATGACTGATTTAATAATATGTTATTTGGAGAAGAGGCATACTTCCAGCTACTAAAACTACGTGGGCTACTGTAAGAATTTAGAATTCCCTAAAACCTCAATCTGCAGCAAAATTCTGAACTATTACTAATGCGTAAACTAGTTATTCCTTAATCAGTTATTTTAGTATTATCTGCACAATTTTTATTTCTTATGGATAAGTCACCTAAACATCTCTCTAGACTTTAAAGGAAAGAGCAGTGTTGGACTAGTGTTTTTCATTTGTTATCCTCCATTTGTTCAAGAGGAATCTTAAGTGAAAGTATAAACAAAATAAATAACAAAAGGAATCATTCTGATTTTGAAGGGGCAGGCAAAATTCTGTATTTCTCTGTGTTATCTATGATATGTATAACATAAAACATCTAGTGAGCTGTTAAGTTTCTTTCTATTTGTTACATAATTTAGGATTGTATTATACAAACTAACATTGGAAGGATATAAAGAAGACTCCATGAGGGTTTCACGTCAAATATGTGTGTGAATTTAAGGATTACTAATTTGTCATCTTTAGAAATTTAAAGATACCAAGTTTCTGGCTCACTATGATAGTAGATATGTTATATTTAAATATAAATAAATTAATGAATGTTTCTGCCTCAGATTTCCAGTTAAGCCTTATTCTCCACATTGCCAAGTAAAATGAAGAGAACATGTATGTAAATTGAAACACAGAAGTTGTGAAATTTTTCAGGATAATGAAAACAAAATTAGGAGTAGTTAGAAATTCTTTTGATTTATATAGTTAAAAGTACTTTAAACACCAAATTCAAGATACTGGTTAGTACTGGGAGGAAGAGAAAGAATATGGATAAGAAGAGGGGTACACTAGAGATCTCGGCTATACCTGTAAAGTTATTAACTTTTAAAACATCTGAAGTAAACTCAGCTAAATACTAAGTTGTCTGTATTTTTGTAATTCTCTAAGTTGGAGTTTTAAAAGTAGTTTTTACTAATTTAAAGTAGTTTTACTAATTTAATTTTAACTGCTTAGGAGTTTTATCACAAATTTTGATTTTCTTTTCTTTTTGTCCTATAAAGAATAAAATACAGTATTGGATCCCTTTCTCCTATTACTACAAATGTCCTGGAAAAGTCTGAACCAAAAGAAAAGCTAGAATTGCAATGTATTTCTCAGAAAGACTTCAGGGAAAATAATGTACAGGTGATCGAGCAGAATTTCCTGTATAAAGAAACCCAGGAACCTGAACAAAAGATTGTGTTTATTTCAGAATGCATCCCCTACCCTTCAAGTGAATTAAGAGAACTTGATGAGAAAACAGCTAATATGTGTTCCATGTTAAATCCAGCTGAAAATGACTTAAAACAAAATTTTACACATCTGCCTCCATCTAAAAATAAACAGGGATGCATTCTTATTGATGTTTCTGAACATAAATTAATTATAAGTGAAAATGACTTAAAACTAAGGGTAGATCACTATCCATGTAGACAACAGACATCTATACAAGTTTCTGATTTTAATATGGATAATAATGCATCTCAACCAAAACAAAAGTCAGATACTATACTTTTTCCAGCAAAGGATCTGAAAGAAATAGATCTTCATTCAATATTTGGTTGTGATTCTGGTCTATTAGCAATAAACAATTCACCAGAGCACCTAACCATTCAGTCAAAGACTCCATCCCATAGTCCTCCTGAGAATCCCAATGAATGTGACATCAAGAATATGGATTGTTTACCTTCTGGTAAAATTCATCGGAAAGTGAAAATATTATTAAGAAGAAATAAAAAAGAAAATCTGGAACCAAATGTGGAATTAGATAAAAGAACTGAATTTCTTATTACCCAAGAAGAAAACAGAATTTGTAGTTCACCAGTACAATCTCTACTGGACTTATTTCAGACTAGTGAAGAGAAGTCAGAATTTTTGGGTTTCACAAGCTACCCCGAAAACAGTGGTGTATGTGATGTTTTAGATATTTGGGAAGAAGAAAATTCAAATAATCTGTTGTCAGCGTTTATCTCTTCTCCTTCAACTTCTACATTTACTGGCTTTTAGAGTTTTTAGAAATACCTTTCAGAAATGATGAAGATGATAATTCTTGAAATTTTCACGTGTATAAAAATTCTTAAAGTTTTTTTTTTTGCCAACTTTGTTTACAGAACCAAATGTAAATATTAACAATAAAGGTGATGTTTGCATTTTTCTACAGAACTGAATACTTATCAGAAAATTGTAGAATAAATTTGTGACTCATTTTACATACTATGTTCAAAGTTGTTTACTAAGAATTATTATAAATAGTAATGTTTGCTTTATGTCACTGAAAGATATGTGAAATTCTCAGAATATCAAAATTTAGCATTATAAATTTGGATATTGTAGTTATATTGTCTATTAAAATAGAACCCCATGGTAACAATGTTGCCTTTAAAAACCTAATTTCCATACAGATAGAAAACAAGCATTAATTTCTGTTTGGGTTCTGGAAATCATTACCAGAAACACTTGACACTTGAGGGTAACCTAGTTGGACCACGCTAGTATGTTGGCACTAAGGAGTTAGGTTATCTGTAAATAGCCTGGGGGTATTTACAAACAGGGGTAAACAGCCATGAAGGAAAAACTTAACCAGGCTACCATATGGAATAAAGTAATTTTTCCACTGTTCTTAATTATTTCCCTTTGGAAGTAATTTCTTCCAAAATGACTCTTTCTCCCTAATTTGGTGTCAGAAATGAAAGGAAGAATGGCATTGAACTATAAATCAAAGTTTTGAAACATGTAAGGATTGCCTTTAATCAGGGTCTTGGCTCTAATTATTAGCTGATATCTGTAGGTGGTACAGGCATTTGCCTTTGAGTATTCTTACAGGATTGAGGCATTTACAACTACAGACATTTTTCACAATAAAAATCAGTGCAATTGAATATTATGTGAATATGTTATCACTAAAAATCAACTTTGATTACCAGTCTTCATTTTTTGAGAACCTGTATAGCTCCCAATGTATTCCCATGCTTTGATGTGTGTGTTGTTTTGACCATTTGGACAATATCCATGAGAAATACTAGCTTTTCAACAACTTTATTGTTCATGCTGTTACCTTAAGTAGGATAACCAAGATATCCTTTCATGTGCATACATACAACCCTTGTTTCCAATGTAAATTACTGTAGCATTTTCTGTCACAAATGGATGTGTGTGTATATGCGAAGCTATGTCAGTGATTACAGCCAACCTTCTAAAAACCTAGATGAAACTTGAAATTATTTGTAGGTTTTTTTCACCCTCAGTACTACCTGTATTCCCCCAAGTTTTCCAAACAATTAAAAGATATTTAAACTTGGTCTATGATCCTTGGAGTTTAGAGTGATGATCTCTTCAGTTTGCAGAGCAGCAGTTTGCCCTCCCAGTGGTTTGGAGTCATTTTGTCTTAGTTAAATTTAATAAGGAGAAGGCTCATGCTGAACACCTCCAATAGTTAAAAGTTTTTAAACTTTATTTTGACACCATTTTTGAACTATTATTTTGAATACTAGAGTTTTAAAATACTGTCCTCCAAGATCTTCATAATGTGTATTTACATTTAAAAAGAAAAGCTTAGCTTTCAGTTTATTTGGAACAATGCTGTAAATTGTAGCAGGATCACCACGTAAAGTTTGGGTTGTGCCATGCAGATGAATACCCAGCCAAGAAGAGGAGGGCAGGTAGTAATCCAGCCTTCAACTCACAGCAGGTGGTGCTCACAGGGAGGTTTTATCTACAGTGCGTGGCCACCTGCCCAAGGTACCTTTGGGGCCATGTCTACCTGGAAGAGGGTATTTTTTGTTTTTTAATTCTCTAACAGTACTTACTTGTGGTTTGGTTCCCAGCTTTTGTTCACAACAGGATATTTCATTTTTAATGTAGTAAGTTACCTTCAGAAGTAGGACTTTTCAAAGATCCATTGCAGGGTAAATGGAAAACTTGGTTTGCTTGATAGAAAGTGACATACTTTGCCAAGTGTATAGACAATTCTCAGCAAGCGCATGATAAATTGAGTTCTTCGATACCAAGAATACTGAAGTTTAAAGGTGTTAGGAAAGAAGAAAGGCACCCTAATTTACTTTAAGGCAAGTATAACAGACAGTATAGCTTTCAAAGTTGGTGGCTCTAGTTCTCCAGGAGTAGCTAGAAACAGCAGAAGTAAAGACAACTGTGGTTTTGTAACTAATTAATTATTTTTCTAAGATAATAGCAAAAGGTGTATTTTACAGGTCAAAAGAATCTTAAGTAGTTTTTAAAGCCAGTGATTTCTGTGCATGCATAGATTAGTATTAAATCTATTAAAATAATTTATGGAACTATATGTAAATGTTACTCTGATGTGTGTAAATTCTAGAGAACTAATGAATGTCAAGGCAAAATATGCGTACTTTTAAGAGGAATAAAAAACCAGTTTATATCGGTAAAACTCAAAACCATTGAACTTGAATCCTTATTTCTGAAAATGTGGGATTATTTAATGTTTTCAGATGAAAATTTAGTTGTTTTTCTTTTTTAAGGCATTTTGGTGGAAGGATGGATGTGTAAATACTATTCTGCTATCTAAAAATATATTAAAATACTTAATAAATGGTATATTTATTTAAATACTATCAATTTCTATTAATGTATTCAATCTGAGAACAAAGAAAGTTTTATGTTACATTTTTCAGTTCATCCTACTGCTGTGTTTTATTAGAGTGAAATGTAAGGATGATAGCCCTCTTCCTGTGGGAAATGGAAAGGTTTTAAAGCATAATAATGTAAACTTCGGCTAACTGGATCTTAGACCAATGGGACTGCCTTGTTAAAAGGTCAAAGAATGTTTGCTACAGTAAGTTGCCCAAGAAAGATTAAGTGGGCCCAAATTACCTTAGATAGCAGCCACTATAGACGTACTGGCATTGAAGTAGGTGCTATGGTCAATATATATCAACTGTGTGCTGTGATTACATTATTTGTCATGCATAGGGGCAGAGACGGGGGAGGAGAAATGACATAGTACAAAGATGATTAGATCAAACGAAAGGGCAGTTTAGCCTTCTAGCTGTATTAGTTTTAGGGAATGTTTAATGGTGTTAACACAAAAAGTAGTATGGCATCCATGTTTCCACAAACTCCAAAAGTTAAGCCTTCCTGCATGAAAAAGCATCATTATGCCCACCCATTTGCCTATAGACTAGTGATTATGCACAACTAAGGTTAAAAAGCAGGACTTAGACCCCCGCAAATAAGGGCTATTAATGCATAATTCTGTTGGTAGTACAGAAGTAGCTTAAAATCCCATGCAAAAAGAAAAATCTAAGAAGAGCTCCGGGCAATTAAAAATGCAAGAAGAATTTGTCGGCAAAATATATTAAAGCAAGAAAAAGGTATGTCTGTTTTGAACACTGGCAGTATGTGACCAAGATTTGAACAAGAAACATTAAGACAAGAGACATGCACTGCCATATCTACTGAGAGATGTCACTTCCTTTGTGAAAAAGGTAAATTATCGATGTCCCTGTATGTTTTAGTTTTCTTTGTTACGCTTAAATGTGTAGTAAATCATAACTTACTTAGCTTTTACGCTATAGTGTAAGTTCATTTGTCCTCTAAATTTGCTGACTTCTTCAGATCTCAAGTTAATGCATAAATGATTATTAGGAATAGGTGAACTCTGTCAAATTACCAGATTTGGTAAAAAGAAGGCAGCATCTGTAAAGGTTTTCTTTAAGAAAGCTTTATTTTTCCTTTGTTTTTAAAAATCAAAATAAAATTATATACATATGCTACTCTATACTAATATATAAATTTTAAACATGGAAATTTTAAAGGATAAAATATATGCAATATTTTTTAAATGTTTTATTCTATTAATGGTACCAAAGTCTTTTTGCTCTTATCAAGAGGATGTTACTAAGATACTTTACAAAGACTTAAATGCAAAGAGTAACTGGATGGCCATGTCTTTATGCTCACTTATTTAAAAGTATAGATATATTTTGGTGTAATACCTTGTGAAAAGCAGTTTAAATATTTGTTTTTTAATCTTTGTCATAGCTCAAATAATGGCACATATTTAAATACTAAAAAATGAATTGCATTGTTAGCTCTCTGCTAAAACATGATATTAATTTTTCAGTCTCATCCCCTAAGCATGCCAAATTTTCATTAAAATATGCCTGATAAGTTTCTATTTCCTGAGGTCAGTCAGCTAGTTTTAAATTAATTAGAAGGCCTTCTATTTACTTTATAAACAAAAAATCAGAAGTTTTTTTTAAACAAAATTCTATTTATAAGTATGAGAGCTCTTATAGTGACACATTTTAAGTAATAAATGTAACAATAGACAAATATCCTTTTTCAAAACGCTTTCACTGTATCATGACCAATTTAAAAGCAGTTTATTCACTTAACAAACATATCTTTAACTTTGAAGGGATAAATTAAGTCAGTTTTTTTTTCTCAAAAACTTCTGAGGCCCCCAAATACCACATTAGTTGCCCCAGGTAGTAATCCAACAAAAATCTCTTTGCTTACCCTGTCTTAGCACTTTCAAACCGTATAAAAAACAAATAGACAATTACAAAAGTAAGTTTCTTGAGGACTTCATGGTAACTCATCACTCACTGGGTTCCTATAGGAAGTAAACTATAATGAAGTTCAGATGCAGGATGTCTTCTTCTAAGGGGTGCCTTCAGACATCAGGTGACCCTACAGGGAGATTTTCAGAGTTGCTAAATGAAAGCTGATGGATTAGTCATTGGATGTGGGCCCCTCCAAGAACAGGCATGACTATTGGTGAGGAAGCTCTACAGCTGAGAATTCCTGAAGGAGTTGAAAGCTGTCCACTGTCAGTACTCCCAGCAATGGGGAAGCAAGTTCTTTAAAAAGGGATCAGGATCAATTAACTCCTGCCAAGATGGGGACACCTTGCTTGTTGGCCTGTTGGCACAAGGGCAAGTGGTAGTTGCAGCTTATAATTCAACAGGAATTGTTCAGATGGAAAACACAAACTCAGAGGGTCACAGCAGTAATGGCAGGTAGAGACACACTCATGCTTCTACTCTTGGTTCCCAGACCAAGTATTCTCCTATAACAGACATAGCACCACATAAACATTTTGAACTCAAAGTATATACTGCATCCCAGAAGATGGTACCCCATCCTCAAAAATATCACCCCAAACCTCCAAGCTTATGGTACAGCTGTGCCTTCAATAAGCTGTTCCCACACTCATTCAGGCAGCATC